ATCACTTGTATATGTCGAGCAATGAAATTGGTTCATTTTGTGAGGCGGGCGGGTTCTGGTAATTTTTGCACGTATTAGTATAAATTTTCATTACCTGGAGGGGCCGAGCGGTCCAGAAATACAGTAGTAGTATTTAAAATGAAGAAAAACAAAGAAAACTATATAATAAATATATATATATACCGCTGTTGGCGCTTGAATACTTCAAATATAAATCATCGTGCCTGTAGATTTAACCTGAAGTTCAGGCCCTAAGATTTTGATTGGTTGCAAGTTCACATAAACAACAGTTTTAAAAATAGCTCGGTCAAGGGCTCAAGGGGACAATAATAATATAAAGGTCAAACGCACGTAACAAATCCATTATCGATTTCTTCGAATTTCTTTTCTTTTAATATGCTTTATGGCAGAAAATAAATCAAACAAATACTATTTTGAAAGGTCTTTATCAAAATCTTTGACGAATTTTGGACACACGACGCTGAAAGAATAGCCAAACTAGTCATGTATTCGAAAGCTTGTTGTTGACAGCGGACAGCCAAGATGTTCTGCCAACTGGCTTCGCCAGCAAAAGTCTTTTTAATCAGGTCCTACCGGCGTTGTTTTCTGAGCTATATCGCCTTCTTCGTGGTACGATTGAGAATTTTATTGTTGCTGTTGTTAGAATGTTAGCACGTTAGAGTATATCCCTGGTATATCCGCGTCCAGCATGTTGAGACCTTGAGAAAGCTTGGCAGCCAAGCCGTACACAGAACTGACCAATTGAATCTTTGTTTGCTGTTCGGTTAAATAGAGAAACGGACTCTTAATTATATAAAAGTACCTTGAATTTTTAAGTTTAATTAATAAGCAAAATGCACACTCTGCGGACATGTTCATGAGAATATAATTTTGTGTAGCAAAATCTACAACACTTGTCAATCATATTGCATGCTGTGTCTAAAAATAACATGTGGGCGTCCCACGGTCTAGACAGGTTTTGTGTCAAAACCTATTTCAAATTAGGTTGACATATAATTAACTAAGATTTCCCATCATACGCCACGCCTCCAAAAAACTTCTTATGCTAGGAGCGGTCATCTCATTGGACAATTCTAAATGTAATTGACGTTTCAGCAAGAATACTGGCAAAGGATTGGATAACTTTGATCTCTGACGTCACTTTCCTGTGATATTGCTCGAAACCAAATACCGTACCGTTTCGTTCCTGCGGGGAACGAAACAAAAAATAAGCAAGTACGAGTCCGATAAAAAATGTTAGTCAGAATCGCATATTACAACGGTGAAAATATGCGATCTGACTAGCATTTTTTTATCAGACTCGTACTTGCTTATTTTTTATCCATTTTGGCATGAAGAACATATCATTCAACAGCTAAAAGTCTGATCTTTCCGAAGATGAAAAAATCTCGTTCATACGCAGTAATTCAGACACAATAGCGCGCTGACGTTCGATTACTTTTATTTTGATACACCCTGTATAAAATCAACATTCACTCTGGAAATTATTTATAGCATAATTACTACATATCAGATTTGATTGACAGGCGTATCGATTTCGACCAATGGGAATTTTGCGTTGTGTGGGCAACGCGGTTTCATTTCTTGACTGTGTTGTCTGCAGTCCCTCCTTTCCTTTCTCGTGCCCGGAAATTTAAACCCGCGGAAAAGAGGGACCACTCGCAATCTAATATTTCCCTCGATAGTTCCGAGGTAGAATTAAGTAATTAACTTCGATTCCTAAATAAACTGACCGGCAATTCGGCATATTTCGGCCAAGGTTTTCCACTGTCGTAACGTTTCTTTTGCTTGCCTTAAATAAATAATTTCTCCGACGATATATAAGAATATAAGATATTTTCTCTATTGCCCCGTATTTTAGTTTCAAAGCACACTTAATACACAAACGACAGTGGTCATTTACATTTTCCGCGCTTGCTTTTCTACCTCTTGTCGTTATTTAGAGGTCCTGATTGAAACTTTCAATGTCGTTTCTTTCGACATATTTTCAGTACAATTGCAATTTTGCGACCAAACATTCCAAACAATAACATAGTTTGACAGTTTGATTATTAATATATTTAGTATTTACTGATTGGCTAATTGGACTCGGCAAAAAAGTGGGCGGTTATCAAATTACACTGCCAAACTCAGCAGGCGGTATTTTAGACCGCCTGCCATGCATGCTACTAGTTTAATAGATAGACTATCCATACCAGTTGCTTTATTGGTTGACATGTTTAGTAAGAGTGTAAGTACCTCTTCTTCAGTTATTTCTCGAAAAGTGAATATTTTGTCCACACTGTTAATGTAATACCCAGGTGGATAATTAGTTTGAGGAATTAGTTGAGCCAGGTTACTACCAATATTAATAAATTGTTCGTTAAATGCATTAGCCATATCTTCGGATTTAATATCATGCTCGTTGGCGTCTTTAATAAGCACTATTTTATTAGATTTAGGATTTCTGTTCCGGCATTGATTTATGCTTTTCCAAGTTTTCTTCAAATTTCCTTTGTTAGTTTGAATATATCATTAGAAAAATGACTTTCTATTGTATTCTTGATGAGTTTGTTATAATTGTTCCTGGTGTGTTTGTAATTTTCCCAATCGTTCAAATTACCAGTTTTGCAGGCCTTCTGCTTTAAGCCTTTTTTCATGAAAAAGTTGTTCAGTAATCCAAGGATTAGATTGTTTTCGTACTTTACGTCTTTTTATTGGAGCATGCTTGTCACAAATTTTCGTAAAATTTTCTTTCCAAACAAGCCACCAGTTACCTTTGAATATTTCCAGATAAAGATGCTGATCTTCAGCCATTGACCGAACACCATCTTCTACTATCTTTTGAAAGCCATACTCAATTTCATCACTGTTCTTATTTATACAAAATTCCTTGGCTGAGGGAAAGCTAAAACTGGAACCCACTATTTTGCGGACAACCGCAATTCCCCCAATATTAATCACTTTTCCGTCAGCTCTCTCCACAGACTCGCATTTTGGCTTCATTAGTATTGCACTGGTATTGAGTCTAGGAAACACGAAATATAAATGTCAATATACAAAAATGAACATTTTCCGGGCCGGCTGACGCAGACGTGAATCACGTGATATAAGTTTGATAACTCAAAATACTTGTTGTTATCATCTTTGAATTTATCACCTGCAGTTGTTTGTGTATGACAAGTTGGGAGTAAAAAGCTTGTATCAGCTTGATAAATACTATGATTATTACAACTTCTATACATGGGTAATATATTGTCCAGCGTTTGCAAATTAATGATATCCTGTTGACACGATGCGAGATTATAAGCGTGTACTTGAATGAAAGTTCAACATGAAAAACATCTGAGGTTTAGTTCTAATTTGGTCATGCGTTAGTTGTTCATGTTGATTCTACCCCCACGCAGAGTTAGCACGCAAACATATTAAAACCAAGTGTTACATTTTGTATCTATGGGGTGTTTCATGAGCCATATATGAACGGCTATATCCCTACCAGTAGCGCTGATTTTCACCTCCTGTTTACATAAGAAAACCAAGCCCTCTAATTGTTACGACTGTTGGCTCGTTGACTATTGTTCCAGAGCTAAAATTTTAAGATTTCAGAAAGCGGAATTGACAGAGTTAACGTAGGTTTTGTCCTCAAAATTGGCCATGCAGCTGTCAGGTATACTGAATAGTATACCGACTTCTTTGCATTGTATAATCCAAAATAATCCTGTCGCTCATATATACTATATTTTGATTTGAAGCAAACGCTCGAATTCACTAAAATACTCACACAAGGGGCGAATATTCTAACAGACGCATTACTGACAGATCGCGCGTGCAACACGCGCGCAAGATATCATCCAATCGTGGGCAGACCCAGGCATTAGTGAGTTTAAGATACCCCGGTTTCGGTGTACGGGTACGAGTACTGTCATCTTGTTTACTAGTTTTTACTGATGCCTGTAATTCAATCATACTTTTTCTGTTTTCTTGCAACAAGACAATGATATAATGGGAAAAATGTGCACCTTAATTACGAGTAAAGGTACAGACATCGACGAAAATATTGCTAACCAAAATCATGCTACCCGTACCCGTACACCGAAACCGGGGTATCTTAAACTCTCTATTAACATGCCTGAGTTCGATTTTACACTCAGCCTTACAATAGGAAGAAGCCCTCCTGTTGCGTTTATATGAAAAACTTCCCCAGTAATCTCGCTTTCGAGTGCTAGCTGCCGACATAAGCACTCTGTATTATCTTGACACGATGCCCCCCAAGTTAACTTCTAGCTTATAAAAAAATACTGTGATGAAAATATGAAATAAGAGCTTGTGCTATTTCTCACAAACTTCCCAGCTAGCACAGTACGTAATCGCAACGTTGCGAGAAGGTTGTGATTTGGGTTGGTCCGACCTAACCTCTCTACAAACTTAACAGCACGTTTTCCTAAATGCTACATTTGATATGTAAAAATTTCATGTGTGCAGTACGTTGTAGGGACGTTTCACTGGACGTCACTTTAACACCTTCTGATAACGTCCATGGAACGTTGAGGTGGAACATTATTTTGGCCAAAATAGGTTATTAAAATGCGCGTCATCAGTATCGAATATCACATTTTGCCGTTGGCTGCAGAATTCAAACTTAATCTTTGGCAGACGTGAGGAACTTATATATACTAGGAGTTTCTATCGCAAGGAAATTGCTGCTTCACCCCTAAGGGATCAAAGCCAGGCAGCATGGAGAATTCGCTGAATAAGGGGCTGAACACATTTATATGATCCTACTTTGCCAGGACAAGTTGTGAGGCGGGATTATTTTGATGTATTGAAATAAATTAAGGTTCATGATTCAGCAAAAAACTACATAGTTAACTGTAACTAAAAGCAATAATAATCTTCTTCAACAAAACATTTGAATTCTGTTAACCAGCATTTGAACTTTCATTTAGCCTATAGTGACTTATTTCAATACATCAAAATCACCCTGCCTTCCAATAGGTCAGCTAAATATATTATCATACTCTTTGCGAGCGACGAGCGTTGTCTAATTTCATCGATCTTGTAATCATTTGAACGTGAGTAGAATATTATTTAGTTATTATACCATAGTTGTCATATTGAATTTTAGAATGTGTCTGTGTCCTGTGATGACTGAATTACGGGACATTGATCAGTGATATATTCATATATATTATATATTTGATATCATGTTTAACTTAGAATCTCGTTTATATTTTTAGGCTGAAACCAGTATGTAAGACTTATGTATATGTCTCATCAGTATCTTCAGGGGCGCCGGAGCCACGGGGGCAGCGGGGGCAGCACGGGGGCAGCAGGGTTGCCTTTTTTTACCAGAACTGCACTTCGAACGTCGTGCGTTTTCACTGTGGGAAATCTTTCTCCAGAAAGTGGGCCTATTAGAGAGGAGGGTTTCAGACAGAAACATAACAGAGCATTGGCGTAGAAAGTTTTGTAAACTTAATGCGGATGGGGTGGGGTAAGGAACAACAAGGTCGATCCAAAGATTCAAATCCTGTTGCGCAGGTATGGGGTTTCCCGCTTCCCACATATCTTTAGAAAGATAAAATGGAAATTGCTGGTACTGTAACAAGTGCTGATACTACCGGGTGTCCCCCCAAAAAACTTGCCAATCCTGATCAAATTTATATGAAAACAAATTGCCACTTTCCACAAAAATTAACAATTTCAATTTCAGCATTTCAACTCAACTTTCATTTCGGGTAATGTCCTAGTAAGGAACCGGTCATAAAGTATGTGTACTGGGGGGGGGGTGGAGCGTAAGTTGGGGGTATGAAACAAATTATCTAACTTAGGGGGGGTATGAGACGAATACGACATTTGTGGGGGGGGGGGGGTACGAAACAAAAAAATGAGTGGAATACTATGTCTATGATTAATAAAACTACAGACTTTTATAATACAATATATTTTTTTAAAAATCGAGTGTATGTTCCCAAAATGTTCCTAGCCGTAAATTGCAATGTAGCACAATAGTATTTGTGAAATTGTCTCGATCGGAACCTATTAGTTTGAATGCATGTCTGCAACCTGAACAGTCTTTGATTACGTTATCTTACCGTCGGATGGCTTCCCTGCTCGTTTACTTTTAGAATGATTTAAATATTGAGAAAGATATGAAATACGTCACGACGTTTTGTTGATATAACCAAGGTCTACAAATATGCGAGATCCTAACACTGAGATTAGACTCTATTTCAAAAATATAGCCTGACACAAACCTTAATCCGATCGCTTTCCACGCACAGCAAAGTTTATATTTAGTAGGCCTATCCAATCAAAATGTCGCAGGAGAAATTTCACAATTTTTTAATTAATGAATTGGTGTTTCAGAGCGTTTTTGCCAGTATAAAAATTGGTATTAAGATTTTGAGTAATGTTTTTCCTTTTTTCTAGATCTGACCCAGATTTTCACCAAGGGGACATAAATAGTGCTTTATGGAGATGGCGAGCACTGATAAAAGTGATAATCTCACATATGACATTATTTATGATATTAAATCTCACAATCATGTGAAAATTATCGCTTTTCAAATATCGCTTTTCTGCAAAAATTATCGCTTTTCAAAGACTGTCCTTTATACATTAAACAGAAAAATACATGGGTGCTTGGAAATACCAGATTCATTTCTCTTGTTGAACATCGTATATCACTCGTGAGATATCATGTTCAACATGCACACTCTCTATTTATTAACTACGCTAAATATTTCGATACAGACAATTGATTTTACGCGGTCAGGTCGATTCGAGAATGTGATATTTCGGAACTGAGTCCAGTTCCCTCGATATCAAAGCAATCTAATAGCCTAATATGATTTTTTCTGTGTTGTTGTTATGTACTCATGTGAATATGATGCTTGTGATGTTACTCTGAGTGTATATCCACACCGGACAAGCTTGAAAAATATACCTGGCCACGGTGGAAATCGAACCTACGACCTTTGGAATATTAGCCCAATGCTCTGCCAACTGAGCTACGCGGTCAGATTGGTTCGAGTATGTGATATTTCGGAACTGAGTCCAGTTCTCTCTAGGACTGTTCGGTATACCGATATACCGGAAATATCGGTATTAAATCAATATCGGTATATCGATACTGGATATTCAACCATACCGATATATCGATATTTCCGATATACCGGAATTTTTCGGTATACCGTGCATGTTAAATTTACCAGCTTTAAACCATAACCTTTATTTTACTACTGAATGGCAATTCAAAGAACGTTCTACTGCAATGATATAGAATTTCCACTTCAGTGAAATTTTACACTGGTACGTGTATGTCATTCGAAACATGTTCGAAATAGCTTCGAAATTATCGTTTTCCTTTTACAATTATTCAAAATTTCCTTCAAATTCCCATTAAAGAATTTTCCTTAATAATTATCAAAGGAAAACCGGTATACCGATAATATCGGTATAATTTTTTCGGTATACCGGAAATTTCTCATACCGAACATTCCTAGTTCCCTCGATATCAATGCAATCTAGTAATATGATTTTTTCTGTGTTGTGTTGTTCTTAGAATTTCATGTTTTTGGGGAGAAGGTGATTGGTTGTGTGTGTGTGTGGGGGGGGGGCCTACGAAATATTTCATCTCCTTTGAGGGGGGTATTAAATATTTTCCGACGCTTTTGGGGGGGGGGGGGGGACAAATTTTATGGTAGAATTTTGGAATACCCTCCACACCCCCCACACCCCCAGCACACATACTTTATGACCGGTCCCTAAGTTGACCTTTCATGTTTCTTGATAAGCGAAATAAGCATGAAACATTTAAAAACGTTCGAAAGCATATTTGACGTCCTTTGACGTCCTATGGTTTCCCGTGCAACACATTGTATACGTGAAAAAGGACATAGATTCTATGATGAATGAATAAATGTTTATCCAATAATTATGTTTATCATTCGTTCTTTTGGCCACAATAAAACTATATAATCAACTTTAATAATCAAATAATATTTGATAGGCAAATTTATGCAATTTTTTAAGATTGTCAAATATGCTTATTCGATTTAAAACATCGATAGCTCAGTAAATATTGCACGGATATTCAAATGTTATATATCAAAATCTGAGTTAGACCCTAAATCAAACAGCGCAAGTTTTTTTTGGGACACCCGGTATGTTATGTTGAAAACATATAGTATATGATGCTTGTGATGTTACTCTGAGTGCATATCCACACCGGGCAAGCATGAAAAATAGGCCTGTCCTAGGTGGGAATCGAACCTACGACCTTTGGAATACTAGCCCAATGTTCTGCCAACTGAGCTGCGCGGTCAGGTCGGTTTGAGTGTGTAATATTTCGGAACAGAATCTAGTTCCTTCGATATCAATGCAATCTAGTACAATCATGCTTTTTTCTGTGTTGGTGTAATGTACTCAGGTGAATATGATGCTTGTGATGTTTCTCTGAGTGTATATCCACACCGGCCAGGCAAGCTTGAAAAATATGCCAGTCCACGGTGGAAATCGAACCTACGACCTTTGGAATATTAAAGATTTGGATTCTTGCACTTCACTTGGTGGAATTAATATTAGAATGTTAGGGTTTGTATCCAAGAATCCAAATCTTTGAAGTCCACCTTATCACAACCCGCACACCCGATTACCCAAGTATACATGAACTTACGGTTACAGCTCAACAGCAGGTCTCTGTAGCTCAGTTGGTTAGAGAACTGCACCGGAATCGCAGGGCCGTAGGTTCAATTCCTACCAGAGGACCTTGTGCTGCATTTGTCGCACTCTTTGGAATTTTAGCCCAATGCTCTGCCAACTGACCTACGCGGTCAGGTTGGTTCGAGTAAGTGATATTTCGGAACAGAATCTAGTTCCTTCGATATCAATGCAATCTAGTACAATCATGATTTTTTCCGTGTGTTGGTAATGTACTCAGGTGAATATGATGCTTGTGATGTTACTCTGAGTGTATATCCGGTGTGGATATACACTCAGAATAACATCACAAGCATCATATTCACTTGAACTTTAATATTCTTCCATTTTGTGGGCTCCGAAGAAACCAATAGTGGTAGCCGGTACAACTACAACATGTTTACTTCTTTATGACTGAAGAAATAACATCCTTGACAACATATAATTACATTGTTAAAATTAATAGTGATGTGATACGAAGATACTTCATAGTAAATAGTTTAGAAGTCTTGCTCACCCAGACAAAACAATACTTCGTTAGGTCCTGTAGTCAATCTGCGTATAATCTGTATATATATATATATATATATATATATATATATATATATATATATATATATATATATATATATATATATATATATATATATATATATATATATATATATATATATATATATATATATATATATATATATATATGTATATATATATATATATAACTACAGACGGTACCGTTTCGGCCTTTTGGGCCTCATCAGTGTAGTGCTGATGAGCAGGATGAAAGTAACCACTATAAATAGTTACCTTTGATGTCTCACGAATGTGGGACATCAAACCATT